TCTTCAATTCCCCAGCAAAATGCCAGACTGGAGGCATGATTCAAGTGGTAGAGTACCAGTCATAGGTGAAAAAGCTTAGCAAGAGCTTGAGGTCCTCAGTTCGAGTCCCAGTATCACTGCAGGAGAGAGGCGAGGGGTCTAGATTTGAGTTAATAAGAAAAGCAGCTGAGGATAGCTTTTCAGAAAATTGGGTCTTAATGGGGATGTATAATGCAATAGTTAAGGCAAGCAGCATTTTATCTTTAATAGTGAACAGTTGTGCAACACAACTTCAAGTGGGCAGGAGTAGAGGAAATAGATTGATCAGATTGTTCAGCTCTAGCTACTGAGGAGGCCAAGATATAAGTATCCCAGCTTGAAGACAACATAGGCAGGAAAGTCCTTGAGATTCTTATCTTAAAAGACCAGAAGTAGAGTGCTATCATGAACATCAAAGCTAAGGGACAGCACCCAAGCCCTGAGTTCAAGCCTCAGGACTGGTGTGAGTACACACACACACACACACACACACACACACACACACACACACACACACACACAGAGGAAAGGAGAAAGGAGGAAGCCTTTTCATCAGAAACTCTTATTATCTATAGCATTTAATTTTTATTTTATTTGTCAGTCATGGAGCCTGAACTCAGGGCCTGGGCTCTGTCCCTGAGCTTCTTTTGCTCAAGGCTAGCACTCTACCACTGAGCCACATCCCCAGCCCAACATTTAAACTTTTTTAGACAATTAGAACAATTTAGACAATTTGGGAATGTAGCTCAGTAGGACTAACCAAATATAGATGAGGCCCGGGGTTGCGTCCCTACCAATGAGTGTGAACATACATGCATATACACGCATACACACATACACAAAATTATTTAGTCAGTCCTGGGGATTGAATTTAGTTAGTACTTGGCACTGTCTGTGAACTTCTTTTCTACAGGGCTAGCACTCTACCACTTGAGCCACAGCACTGCTTCTGGCTTTTTCTGTTTATGTGGTACTGAGAAATTGAACCCAGGGCTTCATGCATGCTAGGCAAGCACTTTACCACTTAGCTCTTTTTTTTTTTTTTTTTCTGCTGGTCGTAGTGCTTGAACTCTGGGCGCTGTCCCTCAGCTCTTCAGCTCAAGGCTAGCACTCTGCCACTTGAGCCACAGTGCCACTTCCAGCTTTTTCTGCTTATGTGGTGCTGAGGAATCGAACCCAAGGCCTCATTTATAAAAGGCAAGCACTCTACCCTGAGCCACCTTCCCAGCCTCCACAATTTATTTTTTAAAATAACCAAAGAGCCAAGCACTGGTTGGCACATGCTTGTAATTCTAGCTACTCAGGAGGCTAAGATCTGATGATTGATGTTTGAAGTCATCACAGGCAGGAAAGGCCATGAGACTTTTAGTTCCAATTAACCACCTAAAAACCAGAAGTGGAGCTGTGCTCTAAGTTGTACAGCACTAGCCCTGAGCAAAAGATGTAGGGGACAGTGTCCAGGCCCTGAATTCAAGCCCCATGACTGATGAAAAAAGAAATCCAAGGAGCCAGGTGCCTGTGGCTAATGCGTGTAATCTTAGCTACAGCCTGGGCAGGAAATTATGTGAGACTTTTATCTTCAATTAAGCACCAAAACAAACAAACAAAATAAAAGCCAAAGTGGAGCTGTGGCTCAATGGTAGAGCACTAAACTTGAGCAAAAATCTCAGGGCAGTGCCCAGTCTCTTAGGTCAACCAAGCCCTAGGACTGGCACACATACAAAAGATATAAATTATTGGGCTGGGAAAGTGGCTCAGTGGTAGAGTGCTTGCCTTGCATGCATGAGGCCCTGGGTTCGATTCCTCAGCACCACATAAGCAAAAAGAAAAAAGCCGGAAGTGGCTCTGTGGCTCAAGTGGTAAAGCACTAGCCTTGAGCTGAAGAGCTGAGGGACAGCGCCGAGGCCCAGAGTTCAGGCCCCATGACTGGACCCCCAAAAAACAAACAAACAAAAAAGGTATAAATTATTTTTAAAATTAAGAAAGAAGTATTAAATAATTGGAACATTACACACACAAACTTACTGCATCTCTCAGTGATTTCTGTTTTTTTTTTTTTTTTGTCTGTCATGGCGCTTGAACTCTGGGCTTGGATGCTATCCTTCAGCTCTTCAGCTTAAGGCTAGTGCTCTACCACTTGAGCCACAGTGCCACTTCCAGTTTTCTAAGTGGTTTATTGGAGATAAGAGTCTCATGGAGCCAGGCACTGGTAGCTCACACCTGTAATCCTAGCTACTCAGGAGGCTGAGATCTGAGGATGGTGGTTCAAAGCCAGCCTGGCAGGAAAGTCCATGAGATTCTTATCTCCAATAAACCACTAGAAAACCAGAAGTGGCACTGTGGCTCAAGGGGTAGAGCACTTGCCTCGAGCTGAAGAGCTCAGGGACAGCGCCGAAGCCCAGAGTTCAAGCCCCATGACCGACAAAAAAAAAAAAAAGAGTTTTATGCACTTTCCTGCCCACGCTGGCTTTGAACCATGATCCTCAGATCTCAGCCTCCTGAGTAGCTAGGATTACAGGCGTGAGCCACCAGTGACTGGCTATGGGGACAAGAGTATGCACCTGTTCCACATATAGGTAGTGTTCACTTTCCAGGGGTACTTTCCCCGCAATTCCTATATTCCCATCCCTCAATCCACCTGACATTTTCTTTCTTTTCTTTCTTTCTTTCTTCTTTGTACCAGTCCTTGAGCTTGAACTCCGGGCCTGGGTGCTATCTCTTGAGCTTTTTTTGCTCATGGCTATTGCTCTACTACTTGAGTCACAGACCCACTTTCAGCTTTTTACTGGTTAATTGGAGATAAGAGTCTCACAGATTCTTCTATCCAAGCTGACTTTTTTTTTTTTAAATCGTGATCCTCATATCTCAGCCTCCTGAGAAGCTAGGATTACAGGTGTGAGCCACCAGCACCTGGCCACCGGATGTTTTCAACCCTGGAGATCAATGGGGTGACAGATGTCGCAGCCAGATCGCCCTCACATCCCACCTGATGTTTTCTTAGTCTTTTTACAAAAAGAGCTCATCCCTCTACTCTGAGCTTTCTCTCACCTCATCTTCAAACTCAGTTAACCAGTCCACATCTGAATATATATATATATATATATATAACTTTCCATATCATTATTTTGCTGCTTCGGTCACCCTGTAAAGTATCTTGCTTGTCTTTTCCCAGTCTGGGTCTCAGGCTAGGGCTGGGCACAGGTAAATCGGTCCTTAATGATATAAGAAGGAAGGAGTGGGCACATTTCTGTATCCTTGACGGCCTTGCTTTGCGAATTAGTTTCTATCTGTCCCTCTCTCTCCTCTCTCCCCCTCCCCCCTCCCCATCTCCCTCCTCCCTCCCTTCCCCCCCCCCCCCCTTGTCTACTGTGCCAGCCAGATGCCTTGGAAATCAGAAAGGAGTGTTAAGCTGGAGTAAGGATAGCTGAACATCTCCAATTAAGGACGCGCAACCGGACTATCTTCAGCAGTTACCGGCAGAGGGCGCGCCAGGACCGGGAGAAGTGAAGGCTGCGGTCGCGGGCGGCAGAAGGGATTCGGATGTTGGCACCGACTCTAGCGCTGGGGAAGCGCACGTGGGGTGGGGTGGGATGGGGTGGGGTGGGGTGGGGCCAGCGGCGCGGCGCGGCGCGTGGGGGCACGTGTGCTGTTCCTGGGTGAGATAGTCTGGCTAAAAATACGCGCTGGCCAGCGGGTCGACTTCTAAAGCCTCAGTATTTTGGGAGGGAGATTGAGGCTTCTTCCCGGACGAACTTCCACAGACTCCCAAGTAACCTGAGAGCATAATCGCATTACAACTCAGTCTTCTGGTCTGTTGATTGCGGGCCATTCATTTATTCAGTAAATATTAAACATGTGCACTGTTCCGTGCATCAAGCATAACTAAGAGGTTCTTTTTCTCTCTTTGTATTTACAGCCTATTATGTGTGTTCCTTGCAGGTGGGAAGAGAAAAAAAAAGCGATGGTTAAGATCCTTTAATATTTTCTAAAATTCTGTAAGAGAAATAAAGGATGTGATAGTGATTGGAAGGTGTGTAAGCTGATATTCACCCTACGAGACACCGAGGGCCTCCTAACTAGAGGACATTACGTATGAAGGCCGGGGATCCTACCGCCCCTCACGTAGACCTGAGAGACCCAGAAACTAGTCGAGGTGGAGACATAGATCTGTGGCCCATGGGGAAGCTGCGTTGCCTGGAAAGAGGCTCCAGGGCTAGGACATAGTTTCATTAGGGCATTGTTTCCACAGATGGATACATTTAGCAAAACTCAGTAAACTGTGTATACACATGCACGCAAACTTCATCCCGAAAACAAAATAAAAGGGTTCGCGGTTTGTGAGAACTTGAGCTGGACCGACAGTTCTGCAACGCTTTCCAGTCTGCCCTGCGGGGTGTGCGTTACATCCCCAGGGTGGTAGTGGGCGGGAGAAGGAGTCTACACCTGTCAATAGTCAGGCACCTGGGGTCTGGAGAGTGCAAGCTACAACTGGGGCTTCCGCCTGCTGCCCCCCACCTGGGTCGTCAAGGGCAACCTGGGAGCCGCGCCCCCGGCCCCGCCTTTCGCGCAGAGACCAGGTGGCAGTTGGGGCGGGACCAGCCCGTTTGATTTCCCGCGGCCGGTGGCAAGAGGAGAAGGGGGAGGGGAAAGGAGCCGCCGGCCAATAGGTTGGGCTTGTCGGGTCATGTGACCCCAGAGGGGCGGGGCCCAGGTGTACTTACGGGGCTGCGGGCCGAGGGCCTTCGCCTCCACGCGAAGTCCGGGAGGCGGGGCCGGCGTGCGGGCCCGGGGGCTCCGCGGCTAGGATTGGCTTGCGGCTGGGAGGCGGGGCTTGCGCGTGCCCGGATAGCGGGCTGCGATTGGCCTCGGTTCGGGGCTCGCTGCCGGCGTGCGGGCTCGGCTAGGGGCGCGAGGACCGAGCGGGGCGGCGGGTCCGCGAGCCGGGGGGAGGGGTCGGGGCGGTGGCGGTGGCGGCGGAGGCGGTGGCGGCGGGGGCCGGTACTGGACCCGGCGGGATGAGCGAGGCGGAGGCGGCAGTGGTGGCGACAGCGGCCCCCGCGGCGACGGTGCCCGCGACGGCAGCAGGGGTGGTAGCGGTGGTGGTACCGGTGCCCGCGGGAGAGCCGCAGAAAGTAGGCGGCGGGGCGGGCGGCGGCGGAACCGCCTCGGGCCCCGCTGCCGGTACCCCCTCGGCGCCAGGCTCTCGCACCCCTGGCAACCCGGCGACGGCGGCCTCGGGAACCCCCGCGCCCCCGGCCCGGAGTCAGGCGGACAAGCCGGTGCTGGGTGAGGGGGAGGGTCGCGCGCCCGGGCGGCTGGGGGTGGGGGGCGGGCGGGCTGGGGGAGGGGGAGGAGGGTCTGGAAAAGCTGAAGGCGGGCTTGGTTCAGAGACCCCCCCCCTCCCCCAAGGCCAAGTGGGCTGAGAGCTCTGGAACGAGCTAAGTGAATTTCTCTGGTGGGAAATCCTGCTGTCCCTTCCTGGGCGGGAGGGCGGGGCCAGCAGGTCCAGCTGAGGCAGAGGGGGGGTGGGGTGGAGAACGAAGCCTTAGGGTCCTCCCCCGCCCCAGGTGCAGGAGACTGGGTACTCCTTGCCTCTGGTGAGTAAGTACCAGGAGAACCTCTGAGCCTGGGAAGCAGGTGCAGTGGGGACCCTTAACATGGAGAGAGAGAGACACTTTTGCGGACACCCAGGTGGGGGACCGGGTTCTAGGTGAAGGGCTCAGGTTTGTAGGGTGTGAGGAACATGTCTTCGAGTTGAGTTTTGAGAGCCTGTATACGTTGTGTGGGTGATTCCACTTGGTGGAATTGGCATAAGAATACTTTAAAGCTACTAGCGAAACCTGGTTGGTCGGAGGAAAGCTTAATAAGGAGGCAAGTTAGATTTGGGGTGTGGGGGGGAGAGTGTCTGAAAACTCAGTCCAACTCCATCTCTCCCCCTATCTTACTGTCCCCACTGCATCTGCCTGGCAGCAATCCAAGTCCTGGGCACTGTCAAATGGTTCAACGTGCGGAATGGTTACGGATTCATCAACAGGTATCCGAGGAACCCAGGGAAGGGGAGGAATGGGTGTCCTCAGAACTGGCTTGTGGGACTGGACACCTTCCCAACCTCATCGCTACCCCTGGCAAGGCACATGGCTTCCATGTCCAGCTGATGCTGGTTGAAAGGCTTTAATGACAGCACGCCTGTGTGCTCAGTGGCCAGATGAAGCCGCCTCCACATCTTCAAGGGCAGCAGAGGATTAATGATCTGGGAACTTGGCAAACCTAGCTCTGACCTTCCTGGCTTTTCTGTCTCCACAACTCCTGGAATTGCTTCATTATGTTTAGATGGCTGTGTCTTTGAGGGTTGTGTTTGGGTTCTTTGCACTTCTGGGCTCTTGTGTTGAAGTCCTCACCCATTTCCTAATTAAAGACAACCCATCACAACTTAGCTCACTAAAGAGCTGTGGCTCATTTGAACCCCTCATCTGCTGACACTGAGCTGGTGTAGGGGAGTGACGGAGGGAGGAGTTAGCCTCTCCAGAGACTGCTGCCTTCCTTCAGCTCCCCCTCCTCCCCCCCCCCCCCCCCCAGTGCTGGGAGAGGCTGTAGTGGTGGATTCTGAGCAGTCCCAGACCTATCCCTGTGGGGCTTTCCCTAGCCTGGGCACCCTGCCCATTCAAGCCCTCCAGGGAGGCCTGAGTTCCCTCTTAGCAGGCTGACCTTTGTGCAGATCCCAGTGCTTTAGAGCATTTGTTCTGGGGAAGGCAGATTGCAGTGAAGAGTTCCTTCCTCTCCCTTCCCTATAGGGAATTCTAGGATAAACCAGGGCTAATAGTCAAGGTAGTGTAGAAAATGACTACTCCTCTTCTGTCTTAATCTTGGTCCCTCTGTGTCAAGAGGACCTCTAAGCTGAGGTGAAGACAAGGTTTTATGGTGATTTGGAGCAAGTTCTGGATACCTTGTCCTTTTCTGAAAATTGTTTTGCACCTCTGGCCCTGATCCTGCTTTCTTCCTCCTTGAACATGGAAGGAAATGTGGAATTTTCCACCCCCAATGTGGGCTGGGAGGAGGGGAGATTGGGCAGGGACAGTTATACCCAGCACCAGCAGGTTCTAAGGTGCCCCTGGGCAATGAAGGTGGAGCATTGGCAGGTAAAGAGTTGTTCCAGCTTCTTCCAAGGTGCCTTTGCCTCCTCCCTTTGCCCTTTCACTGAGGTTGAAAGTGTACTTCCTCCTCAAGACCAGCTTCTGAGGGCCCTGTTGGCTATCACCTCTTACTTCCTGGGCCCTGTGTACCCCCCAGGTAACTGGCACATTGGAGAGGAGGGACAGGTAGGGAGGCCTCAGTGGAGCTGAGCACCTTACCAAAGTCACCCCCTTAATGACCCATCCTGTTCTGCAGGAATGACACCAAGGAGGATGTCTTTGTTCACCAGGTAAGAGCTAGGTTTGGCTTTTTAAGGGGAAGAACTGGCCTTGTCTTTGAAGGCCTTTGCCATAAACCCTTAGCTACACACTATTGTTTATCCAGCTCTTAACTGCACAATGGCCTGCCCGCATGGAAATAGATGCCCTCCCACCTGCCCCAGGTGCCTGTATCAACCACACTTGTGTTGGTTACTGAATGGCCATCAAAATTGTACGTGTTGTCCTCGAAGTATGGCATGCTCACCACCTTCTGGGACCTGTTAATACCATAGGAAAGAACTGGGCAATTTTCTGAGGGAAAGAACTCAGGCCAGAAAGACTGACTTGGGTGCTATGGGTCTCAAAAGTGTGGTCCCTGCACCTGCAACAGCAGCAGCGCCACCTGACATCTAAGCTCAGCCCTGCCCCAGCTACTCAATCAGGCTTGGGGCTGGGGTCCAGTGTTCTTGTTTAGCAAGCTCCCAGGTGATTCTGCTGCTCACTAGTTTGCGAACCACTGCTTTGGTGGAGAGAGCTCTCAGTGGGATCGAGGTAAGAAGCACAGTATGTTTTACCTACTTTGCCACTGTAGACCATCTCTACTTTTTAAAGTTTACAGTCTTGCCCCCTGCTTATTTTTGAAGTCTGAGAGAGGAAGAGAAGAATGTCTTGAGACTGCAGTAACTTCACAGTGGGTTCCCAGGCCCCTAATTTATGACTCCCCCCACTATTTTTTGGTGGTTCTGGGGATCCAACCAAAATCTAAGTAGGCCAGCGCCCCAACCCCACCCCTTCCCAGACTACTTTGACTACCTTCTTGCTCTATCTCCAGTCCCAGACCCCAAGTAAAATATTGAAAAGAATGGGCGTCAGTGGCTCACACCTGTAAGCTAGCTACTCAAGAGGCTGAGATCTGAGGATTGTGGCTTGAAGCCAGCCGAGGCTGGCTCTTACCTCCAGTTAACTGTCAAAAACTAAAAACAAAAAGTCAGAAGTGGAGCTGTGGCTCAAGTGGCAGGCAACTAGCCTTGAGCAAAAATGCTCAGGGACAGTACCCAGACCCTGAGTCAACCCCTAGGACTGGCACCTAAAAATAGATAAAAACAATGCAATTGGGTGGAGGACGGCAGCAGGGTTGAGACCTGGTCTTGCTGCCCTCACTTTTCTCATTGCCTTTTCCCCACCCAGACAGCTATTAAAAGAAACAACCCCAGGAAGTTTCTGCGTAGTGTTGGAGATGGAGAGACTGTGGAGTTTGATGTCGTAGAAGGAGAGAAGGTTTGGTGGTGGTGGTGGTAGGGGGTGTTTCTCTGTGTGTGTGTCTGTGTATGTATTATGGGCCAGGGTTGTAGGGAGGTAGCCTGGAAGTCAGCCTGGGCTTTACTCAGTGGAACCAGCTTTGCCTCTGATTGTGGGGATGGGGCTATATTCTCTCACCAAATGTTGTCTTAGCAATTGGACTTCTGTAAGAAGTGTCCTAAAGAATATGACCCTTTCATCAATCAGTAGTGTCTGCATTTCTTCTTTGCATGTAGTTCATCAAACACTTCCATGTCGGGCTGGGAAGGTGGCTCAGTGGTAGAGTGCTTGCCTTGAATGCATGAGGCCCTGGGTTCAATTCCTCAGCACCATAAGCAGAAAAAGCTGGAAGTGGCGCTGTGGCTCAAGTGGTAGAGTGCTAGCCTTGAGCTGAAGAGCTGAGGGCCAGCGCTCAGGCCCAAGGTTCAGATCCCATGACCAACAACAACAACAAAAAAAACAGCCCACTTCCTTGTCTCTTTTCCTCATGGAGCCCTGATCCTAGTAGGGTTCTCAGAGCCTGCCCTCTATATTGAAAGAGATATGGCCCTTTCTTTCCACCTAACCCCAGTCTGGGGTAATTGTCATGTTTTCCAAAGGATAGATTGCTTCTTTTCAAATGGGAAGAACTCACTTTTCCATGGGGTGGGAGAGAAACCAGTAGAGGTTCCAGGAGCCACAGGATATCTGGAGGGAGATCTCTGGCTGGAAGCAGGGGACTCAGTTCTAGCAAATATGTAGCTATGTATTTGGCATGGGGTGAGCTCTGACTTCCTCTTGTACTCTCCAGGGTGCAGAGGCTGCTAATGTAACTGGACCCGGGGGGGTGCCAGTGAAGGGCAGCCGGTATGCCCCCAACCGACGTAGGTTCCGCCGATTCATCCCTCGACCTCGCCCAGCTGCTCCACCACCCATGGTAGCAGAGGCTCCCTCGGGTGGGACAGAACCTGGCAGTGAAGGGGAGCGGGCTGAGGACTCCGGGCAGCGGCCCAGACGCCGGCGCCCACCACCCTTCTTCTATCGTCGGCGGTTTGTGCGAGGCCCTCGGCCCCCCAATCAGCAGCAGCCTTTAGAGGTGAGGGAATGCCAGCTGTCCGAATACAAGAGAAAAAGTGTAGAGACCACAGGGTCCCCAAAGGAAATGCATCAGAGGGCTGGGAAGAGCCAGGAATAACCAGGCTCCTGCAGTTGATGATCCATAGCCCACCTAGGACTTGTACATTCCCAGGGCACCGACGGGGTAGAACCCAAAGAGACAGCTCCATTGGAGGGAGACCAACAGCAAGGAGATGAACGGGTGCCCCCACCCAGATTCCGGCCCAGGTACCGAAGGTAGGACTCCCTTTCTGCAGCTCATCTTCTCTTGCCTTTTTCAAAAGTTCAGTGTTGGGCCCTTGGGGATGGGGAGCCTGGGGGAGACTCTGGAGGGAGGCAGTCTACTCTAGGTTTCTTGGTTCCTTTTCTCCCTAGGCCCTTCCGCCCCAGACCGCCGCAACAACCTACCACCGAAGGTGGGGATGGTGAGACCAAACCCAACCAAGGCCCCACTGATGGTTCTCGGCCTGAACCCCAGCGCCCACGAAATCGCCCCTATTTCCAGCGGCGACGGCAGCAACCTCCTGGCCCCAGGCAGCCCACAGCCCCAGAGGTGAGGATCTTGGGTATCTAAAACTCTGGGAATGAAGTGCAAGAACAATTGAGACCACCCACCCTCTTTTCTGTCCTTTTCTTTTTTTTTTCTTCTCTTCTTATCCTGTCCCTTTGCATCTCAGCTCCCTTGGCCCCACCCCTCTGGGCAGCCCACTGGCTCTGCTGCTGGCCGCCACCCCACCCATCAGGAAACCTAGCTGAGGCAGGCAGACAAACCCCTGTCACCCCCCACAGAACCCACTCTCCCAGGCTTTCCTTGGAACCCAAACACTAGCTTGTAGGGGTGAATTGTGGAGACTGGCTGCAGAAGGATGGGAAAGGGAAAAGGTGGGAGAAAGATGAAGCAGAGGGCTCTAAAGAAGAGGAGTCTTAATTGGCCACTGCTGTTCTCTTTAGACCTCAGCCCCCATCAACAGTGGGGACCCCCCCCACAACATACTGGAGTGATTCCAACTCAAAGGACACCCAGAGCTACCATCTGGTTAGCGGCTGCTCCTCTCAGGGCGGGTAGCCTAGAAGGCAGGGGACTGGGTTCTGATGATAAGTTATCCTCCTTTATGATTTGTCGTCTTTTTTTTTTTTTTTTTTTGCCCTTAGGTATCTGCCAGTTTTTCCAACTGACCCTACCCAGCACCCCCTCCCCTCTTTCCCATAATTCATGACATCGAAACACCGGCTTTTCCCTTTTTCCTTGAGACTCAGGAGGGCTAAAGCAACAGCCTTTTGCCTTTTTTTCCCCTCTCTTCCCTACTCTGGGTTGAAGGAAGGGATTCATCCTTATTATTCAGAGGCATCAACTCCCTTCCCTAAGTCAGGCTGTTAAGGAATCAGCCAGCTCTTAACCTCCTCCTGGTTGTTTTTCTTTCCCACCCAGTTTATTTTTTGTTTCCCACCCCCACCCCCTCTGAAGCCATTTTATGAACTGTCACGTGCCACCTGAGCCTCCAGTAAAAACAAAAACAGGCCTTCCTGTTGTCTTGATCTCTGCTGCTTTTCTTTTTTAGAGAATCGGGGATCTCTAGTAACTGCCACAGAGAGGGAGGGGAATGTGTGCAGTGGGCGGGACCTATCTTGATCCTGGCTCCAGCATCCATAGCTGTGCAGCTATTGACAAGGACCCTCATTACTGTGAAGTGGGGCATGAGTGCCAGCATACGGAGGATTCTGAGACCTTGAGCTGAGGCAGGACTGAATGAGAAGGGGTGAGCAAGGGGGTTATGGTCACTGTCTTAGCCCACCTTCCAATGCCTATATGACAGGACACTCATGCAGTGACTTTATACATGTATATATACACATTTAATACAGCAGCCCTTTGATGGCTGCTCCCTGCCCCTTATCCATACATATACAAAAATATCTAAAGGCTCCTTCCCACCAATGTTAGCAGACAGCCTTACAAATCAAAAGCCTGTGGGTACAGGATGCAAGTAGAGTGAGTTGGGCCCCCACTTGGCAGTCTTGGCAATCAGAATAGGGTCCCAAAACTAGAGTGGGTGCCTGCTGCCCTTTCTTACCACATGCGGGTATATACTGTCATGTGTTCCCTTTCACCCTGGAAGGCTGAACCTAAAGGGAGGGAGGAGAGGCAAGATTTTGGGAGGTTTTGTCCTTTGCCCTGGAAGGGTCAAGACAGAATCCCCTTCACCTAGAGTTGGTGTGGCAAGAGTGTGGGAGGAGCTGAAGTTGGTGGGAAACTTGACTTGTCAGTCTGACATCCTGCTCTCTGCTTATGTTTGTCCCACTAAAGAAGCAGGCGAGGATCTCCCTTCCTGCAGTTCCCCTTTTCTAGAAGGGATGAAGTATTCTGGAGCTAGGTCTGGGTTGAGGCAGGAGGAAGGGGGAGGGTCAGGGGAGAGTGGCCCACACCAATGGCCATGGCCTAACCACCACACATAAATAATCCAAGAGTCACACAGGGGAATGAAAGGGTGCTCAGACCATCCATCCCTCTAGCTTCCCACTTCTACCAGGTTGTAGGATTTTTCCACACTGGAAGTAATGGGATAGAGAGGGTTAAAGTGCCGCAGAGGAAAGGAGGGGGTCTCAGAGGCGGAAGAGCTGGTTCTCTCTCTGGCCTTGGCCCCTCAGTCATTCTCATCTGGCCCTAAGTATTCCAGTTCCGTGCTGGGTTTCACCTCCTGTTCTAAAAGAGAGGGTGTCCGGCGGAAGGCGGCTGAGATCTGGTCAAATGTCCGGCCTCGAGTTTCAGGCACTTTTAAGAAGGTGAAGATGAAGAAGCCAAGCAGGAGGACGGCAAATAGAAGGAAGACGTAGGGACCCATAGCATCCTGGGACAGGTAGAGAAAGAAAAAAGATGTTGGCAGAGGGGTGAGGAGGGAAAAGGTGGACTCAGGCAAGCAGGAATTAAAGCCTTTTATAGGGATCTGGGTGTGCTACAGGTGACCCCTTCAAGGACAATGGAAATGACCACAAATAAGAATTTACACTGAAAAAAAGGACTCTTTCAGAACCCTAACACCTTTGTTTTTGCCCTCTTCACTCTGTGTTACTGTGTTTGGAGTAGATTCCCAGCCATTTGTATTAATATGAAGCTTATTTTATTCCTGTTCTAAGTGAAGTTATGTCACTGGTTTGTTCAAAGACACAACTGTTGCCATCCAATATAGTTCTGCCCCCTTGTCTCCTTAGACTCCAGGGAAGCAGCTCACTAAAGTGACCCAAAGACCAACAGTTGGGGACGGGGGGGGGGGGGGGGGGGGGTGTCTCTGGCTAGAAACCAAGTGGGCTAATGGTGAGTTGCACTTGGTATCCAGTTTGGGAGAGTGGGACAGGGGTGGAGGACCTACCGCAATATACTGGAAACCCATGCCCACGATGAAGTTGCAGGTCCAGTTGGAGAAACCAGCCACCGCCATTGCTGCTGGGCGGGGTCCCTGGCTAAAGAGCTCAGCCACAATGAACCAGGGGATGGGGCCAGGGCCAATTTCAAAGAATGCCACAAAGCCAAAGATGGCCAGAATGGAAACGTAGCTCATGGCTGGAACCCGCTCCTAAAGAATAGGAAAACTGTTCAAATCTTTCAGGATCTTTCCTTGCTCTTGGCTCAGAGAACTGAAATTACTTAAAAAAATTATTTTTGTGATGCTCCTGGGGCTTGAACTGTCTGGTCCCTGAGTTGTTTTTTGGTTATGGGGCTTGAACTCTGGGCCTGGGCTCTGTCCTTCAGCTCTGCAGCTGAAGGCTGGAGCTTTACCACTTGAGCCACAGTGCCACTTATGGTTTTCTGGTGGTTTATTGGAAATAAGAGTCTCATGGACTTTCCTTCATGGGCTGCCTTTGAATTACAATCCTCAGATCTCAGCCACCTGAATAGCTAAGATTACAGGAGTGAGCCACCAGTGCCTGGATTGTCCCTGAGTTTTTTTTTGCTCAAGGCTAGCCCTCTACTACTTGAGCCACCCCTACTTCCAGATTTTTTTTGGTGCTTAATTGGAAATAAGAGTCTCATGGACTTTTCCTGCCCAGGCTGGCTTTGAACTGCAATCTTCAGATCTCAGCCTCCCGAGTAACTAGGATTACAGGTGTAAGCCACTAGCCCCTAGCAAAATCCACCCTTTGTGCCTGGGGTGGGGTGGGGAGGGGGTGATGGTGTGTGTGGGGGGGGTGTCTGTGGCTCATACCTGTAATCCTAGCTACTCAGCAGGCTGAGATCTGAGGATTGCAGTTCAAAGCCAGCCCGGGCAGAAAAGTCTGTGAAACCCTTATCTCTAATAAGCTACCAGAAAACCAGAAGTGGCGCTGTGTGGCTCAAGTGGTAGAGTGCTTGCCTTGAGCTGAAGAACTGAGGGACAGTGCCCAGGCCCACAGTTTAAGCCTCAGGACTGACCACCTCCCCTCCCCCGCAAAAAACAAAAACAAACAAAAAAAAAAAAAAAACAAAAAACCCTGTCCTTTGTATCAGCTTGGGGGAAGTATTTTCTGAGCTAGATCAGACCTCTTCCTTCTCTTCTACCTTGTCCCTTCCCCCTTCTCTTCCCCCTTCTCTTCCATTCCTCTGTTTTAGGAGAAGTGGAGAGATGGGCAGGGTCTCACTATAAGATTTAGCCTAGGCTAGCCTTAAATTTGTGATTTTCTTGCCTCAGTCTTCCAAGTGCTGATGCTTGGCTTCCCCACCCCCATACTGGAGATTGGAACTGAGCCTGGCATATGCTAAGCAAGGTATCTACCACCTGAGCCACACCTCTGACCATTTTTTGGGAGATAGGGTCTCACTCTTTCCCCTAGCTGGCCTCAAACTCTTGATCTTCCTGCCTCCCACAGAGCTGGAATCAAAGACATACTTAACTCTGCTGCTTCCCTGGAGCGATTCTGAACACTAGCATTCTCTGGGCACCCCAAGTAGATTCAAGGAAGAAGGTGTGTTTTTCCTATGCTGGCCAATTCCCCCTCAGCTCCGATTCTTAGGAATTATTGCTCTTAAGGCTTGATGGGCATATTCTCTGGTTTGGCTGCCAAACCTGTGCTATAGCTACCTCCCAAATCAGGCCCAGCACAGCCTGGCTCCCTCAGAAAAACCAACCATGGTTTCTGACAACTGAAGCCAATACAGGCTTGTCCCAGGATTTCAAGGCATAAGTGTTAAGCTGTGGCCCTGGCAAGCCACAGAGCCTCCTGGGCTTGTTCCTTTCCTTGGTGTATTGGGCAGACCCTCCCAGCGCCCAGGCCTCACCAGCAGAAGCAGAGCTACAGTCATCAAGATGGCACAGCCACACATGCCCGCCAGGCCTAGGAGATGGAGAGTCCGACGCCCAGCCCGCTCCACCAACAGCACCTATAGGGAGAGTCAGAGCTTGGCAGGGGGGTACAGGAAGTCGAGAGGACTTGGGTGGTTAGGGACAGCCCTTCACAGGGCTGTGAAGCCAGTGTCACAGGCAATTCCACAGGCAGATATTTACCGACACTAAGGTGAAGACAGTGTTGACTACGCCAGCTCCTATGGTGGCATAAGCTGGCTGAGCCACTCCTGCAGACTCAAAGATGCTGGTTGAATAATAGAAAACCTAGAGGGAAAGGAGGAGCAAAGAGGATGGCAGAGATGACTTGTCCTCCACCCTAGCCACACCAAGCTAGACTGACCCTGAGCATTGGAGAAGAGGAGGCTGCCCCCTTTTCCCTTCCCCTGGCCTGATGCATGACCCATGCCCTGCCAGGAGGCCGCTCCATACGTACAGCATTGATGCCTGAGAGCTGCTGGCTCAGCTGCAGCACAACCGCAATGACCAGGGGCTGCCGGTGGGTGCGGCTGCCCAGGAGCTGGAGCAGGGACAAGGGTCGCTCACGCTCCAGTTTCCGCTTCTCATCCTTCAGCTCAGCCAGCACATCCGACACATCTGCCCAGCCCGTCAGGCGCTTCAGACCTGGGGGTGGGGAGGGTCAGGCCTGACAGGGCCTGAGAGGAGGCCGGGTGCTAAAAGAATGGGGTGGAGGCAGGGGCCTGAGCTATACAAGGGCTGAGTGCTCACTCTTTCGGGCGGGCCCCTCCAGGTTCCGGATGATGTAGAGGTAGCGGGGGCTTTCCGGGCAGAAGGGTAGCAGGATCAATTGTAGTAAGGCAGGGAGCACTGTGATGCCCAGGAGCAGTGGCCACAGGGTGGCAGTGCCCAGCAGGGACTCTAAACCCAGCACCTGTGGGAAAAATTGGGAAGAAGGGCAGGTAACTCAGGAATCCAGCCTGACTCTGGTGGCCCATCCCAACCCCTCCCTAATTACCGTGCCCCCCCCCCAAGGCCTGGCCTATTCACCTGGGCGATTAGAATGCCAATGACAATGGCCAGTTGGTTAAGTGTCCCCAAGGCACCCCGAAGATGAGTGGGAGCAATCTCTCCCACATACATGGGCACCAGTCCTGACGTTAGCCCTGCAAAGTGGGAAGAGAGGGCTGAGGGGAGCTGCCCACATCCATCCAGAAGCCCAGGCATGGTGAAGGAGAGCAGGGCTCAGG